TTTCCACTTTCTCCTACAGTTAAACATTTCAAGGCTTATGGTCAGAAGCAGCCAATGGGATGTCTTGGTTATTTTGATGTTCTTTTGAAAGGTAGTGATAATCAAGTTGAAGACAGGATTTATGTCATGTCTGGTGATGAGGTATCTTTGCTAGGAAGGAAGTCTAGTCTTGAGTTGTCTTTGCTTCAGATCAACATCAATAAGGTCAATTCTTCAACAAACCTAGATCATCTATTTGATGAATTTTCAGATGTTTTTGATGGCTTGGGTCAAATTAAAGATTTTACTCATACTATCAAGGTTAATGAGTCAGTCTCACCAGTTACACAACCACTCCGTAGGTTACCCTATTCTATGGTGGAAGCAGTCAATTCTGAGTTAGACAGGATGATTGATGATGATATTATTGAAGAAGTACATCATGCTACACCTTGGGTTTCAAATATACATTGCGTTCCGAAACCAAATTTGTTCGCTATATCCGTTTGTACGCTATATCCGTGTTCGCTATAACCATGTTCTACTGTACTTCTGAGATTAGAGTTTGTTGTGATTTACGTGAGGTCAACAAGGCTGTTGTTCGTGAGAGGTTTCCTATTCCTACTGTAGATGATACACTCTATGCTATGAAGTCAGCACGTTACTTTGCCAGGCTTGATTGTAAACGGGGATTCTGGCAGACTTTATTGGCAGAGGATTCTAGAGATTTGACAAGTTTTGTTACACACAGAGGTATGTTTAGATTCAAAAGACTTCCTTTTGGTTTGAATTCAGCTTCTGAAGCATATCAAGAGGCTATGAACTATGTTTTCCATGATATTTCAGGTTTGGAGAAATATATTGATGACTTGATTTGCTATGCAAATTCTCTAGAAGAACTTGAAATTTTGCTCAGAAAAGTTCTCAAAAGATGTAGAGAGTACAATTTAAAGCTCAACAATGACAAGTGTAAACTTGGCATGACAGAGATAGAGGTGCTAGGACATGTAGTTTCTTCTGAGGGTGTTAGACCTAATCCTAAGAAGGTTTCAGCTGTTGAATTAGCTAATCCTCCAGGAAATGTTTCAGAGTTACGTTCATTCTTAGGAGTGTGCAATTACTTGATGAAGTTTATTCCTGGTTTTGCAGATCTTTGTGAGCCATTACGTCTTCTCACTAGAATGGAGTGAAATGGAAATGGGACGATGTTTGTCAGTCAGCATTTGTATCTTTGAAGAAGGTTATTGGTAAAGCCACATGTTTAGCTTTCTATGATGTTGAGGCTCCAACTATTGTGGTTAGTGATGCTAGTCCAGTTGGTTTGGGTTCAGTTTTACTTCAAGAGCAAGATGATGGTAGTTTTCAACCTATTGCGTTTGCTAGTCGTTCTTTGACAGAAACTGAGCGTAGGTATTCACAAATAGAACGAGAAGCTTTAGGATGTATCTGGTCCGTGGAACATTTCCATAAGTATCTTTGGGGAAGGAAGTTTGTATTACAAACTGATCACCGTCCGTTAATTCACATGCTTACTCAAGAGTAAACAGTTCAGTTACCCCCTAGAATTCAAAGATTCGCTTTGAAGTTACAGGGATATGATTTCCAAATTAGACACATAGCTGGCAAATCTAATATTGCAGACTTTTTCTCAAGACAATCTTTATCATCAAAGAAAAGTGACAATGTGGCTGATTATTATATCAGATCTGTGGTTGACACATGTGTGCTAGATATTGATTCAGTTACAATGGATGAAATCAGAAACTGTTCATCAAGAGAGGGAGAAATTGTGAAAGTATTAAGTGCTTTAGAAACAGATGACTGAATGATGATTCAGTGCAGTATCTGAAGTTCAAGAACGAACTCTCAACGTATGATTCTATTCTTTTGAGAGGAGAGAGAATAGTGATTCCTCGATCACTAAGGTCGAAAGTTTTGAGTATTGCTCATGAGACACATCAAGGCATAGTACGCACTAAACAATTCCTTCGGACTAGATTCTATTGGCCAAATATGGATTTTGACGTGGAACAACTTGTTAACAAGTGTACAGCCTGTGTTTTGAATCAACCTTTAAGAAATGACTCTCCATTACAACCTGTAGATCCAGCTCCGAGACCTTGGTCGAAAGTCGGTATAGACATCATTGGACCTATTGACTCAGCCTACGTGTTTACGTTGATAGACTACTTTTCTTCATATCCATTTGCTGTGGTGATTAAAGACATTACATCAAGTGCTATCATTGAAGTTTTGGAAAGAATATTTTCTGAACATGGTTTCCCAGAAAGCATAGTTTTAGATAATGGTCGTCAATTTGTGAGTGCACAGTTTGTGAAATATTTGAGAATGGCAGGGATTGAACATATTCGTTCCTCGACATATTTTTCAAGAGCAATGGAAAGATTGAACGTTTCCATAGATTTCTGAAGAAAGCATTCCGTTCAGCATCAACTGATGGGAATGACTGGAAACGACAATTACCGAGAATTCTACAAATGTATAGAGCTACTCCACATCGAGCTACTGGTGAAACTCCTTCATAGGAACATTAAAACTAAATATCCAGTACTGTGTTCATCGAAACCTGATCCATTATTATCAAGAGAACTCTGTTATGCAGAGAAGATGAAGACATATGCAGATGTGAAGAGCAGTGTAAAACATCATACGTTTAGTGTTGGTGATATAGTGTACATTGCCAATTTTGTGCGTGGTAAGTTAACTCCAACGTACAAACCTGTAAAACATGTGATCATCAACAGGAAACAACGTGATACATTCCAGATCGTGAACTGTGATACAGGTGTTATCAGTGTAAGAAATGCTAAATTTCTTAGACATGCTCCATGTGACGATCCAGTGAACTTTGATAATGTTGAGATTCCTGAAGATATGATTCCGAGAAATTTGGTATTAGACAGAACTGAGTCACAAGTACAAGCAACTTCAGTACCTACAGAGAACTCTACTGTTCAACAAGATAACGTGTGTGCTGATTTAGCTGTAGATCTCAGTACTAATGTGACTGAACCTGAAGAAGAAAATGAACTGAGTGGATCTGCTACACAATCAGCAAATACTGCTTGTTTAAGAAGATCTCTCTATTTGAGACTATGTAAAGAAATGAACATTTAAATATTCTATATTACCGGTAAGTCATTATGATTTATCATTATGGTGACTTGTGTAATTGTGAAAGTGGGATATGTTTGATGTTATATTTATTTGTTGAATCATATTATTTATTACGTGTTTGAATGGTGGTAGATTTTAATATTTTCAAACTTAATATTTGAAAATAATTGGTATTTTCAGTACTAACTGTGGGAGGACTGTAGTATTCTCAATGAGTTGCACAGCCTATATTATCTCCGTGATAACTTTATGTGGATCACGTGACTTGTGTGCTACGTCAGAATAAAGCGGGTGATTGGAACTACTCGCATGTCGTGTTGTCCCTTGTGTGTGTCAACAAGAGAGCCCATGAAGATACTACAGATGGTAAGGCTGACGCGTGGTTTTCATTCGTTGTACTGAGAGACAAGCTATTTAAGACGACCTATCCATGATTCAACCACAGGCAAACTGTAGCGCAAATAGGGTTGCGCAGCACAGAGAAAAGAATGACCAGTCTTTCTATATGCGAACGAAGCAAGCAAAGGTTGGCAACGTACTTCCCTCGCTTCGGTTAGAAAAACATTTTAATATCAAAATAAAATATCGCCTCCCTCACAGGTAGACGGCCATTTGCTCACAGAGTTGTGCTCTCAGATTTCCAACCTCATATTTAATATTTACTCACGTACAATATATCTACTTCAACATTTTAAGCGCCGCTCCTGGCAAATCAAAATCGTTCTTCGCCTCCATTACCCCTGCAGGCTTCCTGGTCAACGGTGTGAAGTATAAACTCCTCATGTCCGGGAGTGATCTGCCCGGCCAGGAAGTAAAACACAACCACGTGGGATCGTCGCGACCAAACACCAGCATGAAACGAACGTGCAACATGATTTGTTGTGCTATGAAAACTACGGATGTTTGTTTGTGCAGAAGTGTAAAGTGAAAACATGCCACGACTGACAAAGGCTCAACGCAACAACGCCATCGACCGACGCAGACAGGCGAATCGGCTTCGGTCGTAGCCAGGTTTCTCCACGTATCGTCAGGAACCATTACAGGACTATGGAAACGCCATCCGACGCAGGGGTGAACACAAGACCTACACAGATCTGATCGACCTCGTGTCAGACAAATGCAGCATTCATATGGGTTCGCCAGTTACAGGATAGACTCACCACGGCCACCTCTACACCTACTGGAATACTAGGATTTCAGCCCAGACTGTGAGGAACCGTCAGCGTACAGACATACGTCGTTGGCAACGTTATGCTCGACACTTGATACAGCAAGTGGACAGGTTTGGTGGCGGTAGAGAAATGATGTGGGGCGCCATCTCCCATGCCAGTAGAACTAACTTGGTACACATCCATAGCATTTGAAACGGCACAGCGTTACACAGATGAAATTCTTCGGCCACATTATGCGACAAACAAACGTCATTTTTCAACACAACAGTGCTTGACCTCACACGGCAAACAGTGACCTAGTCAAGGACCCACAACATCCAAGTACTGCCATGGCCCTCAAAGTTTCTGCGATCATGTCACCAACGGCCGCGGAACCTCCAGCAGTTTGCAGAATCACTGCCAGTAGAGTGGGTGAACATTCCTCATGCCACAATTCGTAATCCGACTAGTTCCATGGGGCGACGATGCCAAGACTCTCATGGTCCCGCACAAGACATGGGTGACCTTCACCTTGACATTCGATTGTTTCATCCATGCCTCGGCCTTTTACAATGACTTCTGCCAACTTCTGTTCATTATGTATATCATACATACATTCATGCATTCATGTTTCTTATTTGGCAGAGTATATATTGTACAGCTGACTTAAGGCAACAGATCCGTCACTGTCATGTATTATGTATTGGTTTTAATGACAACAGTTCGATCATACATATGTACTTATATTGTATTTGTGTGTCGAACATGTATCTGTATCCAACTTTACATCGGGCACGATTTACATCCGGGACATTCTTTGCCGTTGAAGTCGAAGTAGCTGACAACGAGGTCCGCCTGGTCACACTCATTGGTCGGCGCGCACATGGGGGCTGGGCACTCTGTATCCTGCACAACACATGGATATGTACAGCAGAGGACATGGCTATGTACAGCAAAGCACGTGGATATGTACAGCAGTACACATGGATATATACAGCAGTACACATGGATATATACAGCAGTACACATGGATATATACAACAGGACACATGGATATATTCAGCAGGGCACATGGATATATACAACAGGGAACGTGGATATATACAACAGGGAACGTGGATATATACAGCAGGGCACATGGATATATTCAACAGGGAACGTGGATATATACAACAGGACATATGGATATATACAACAGGGCACGTGGATATATACAACAGGGCACGCTGATATATACAACAGGGAACGTGGATATATACAGCAGGGCACATGGATATGTACAGCAGGGTACATGATATATACAGGACATGTGGATCTATGCAACAGGAAATATGGATATATACAGCAGGACATATGAATTTATACAGCAGGGCACATGGATATATACAGCAGGGCACATGGATATATACAGCAGGGCACATGGATATATACAGCAGGACACATGGATATATACAGCAGGGCACATGGATATATACAACAGGACACATGGATATATACAACAGGGCACATGGATATATACAGTAGGGCACATGGATATATACAGAAGGGCACGTGGATATATACAACAGGACACATGAATATATACAACAGGGCACATGGATATATACAGCAGGACACATGGATATATACAACAGGGCACATGGATATATAAAGCAGGGCACATGGATATATACAGCAGGTCACATGGATATATACAACAGGACATGGATATATACAACAGGGCACATGGATATATACAGTAGGGCACATGGATATATACAGAAGGGCACGTGGATATATACAACAGGACACATGAATATATACAGCAGGACACATGGATATATATAAGAGTATTGTTGTCATGTCAAAGCTACATCTAATTGAAGCTCTCGTGCGGGTTTTTTACATAGAATTCTGGGATGAGTTATAATACAGCCAACCATCGACATGTTGTATACAGCCGAACGGATAACTTGGTTCAGTCACGATACAGCTGAAACACTGAAGAAGTGACGTCACAGCTGTACTAACTCACTCATACAACCTGCATATGTGCCAACCTTGTCAGACAGTACATACACATTGTTCGGAGGCAAGGAGCTCAGAATAGCATAGCAATTGACACGTGTACTAATGACACAAGTCAATCCTGTTCCTTTAAAAGCTGAGAGACAAGTAATCTTCTGTCACTACAACTACGCCAATACTGAAGATTGAATCCAATTATTGTTTTGTTCAATTACTGCTACATACGTTCACACATTCAATGTTATGAAGGATACTAGACCTACAGATTAATGTTGTTCCGTTTTAGTTTTAATCTTTCGCATACCAATCCCAATTTGTAAGAAACAAGATGGCAGCCTCCACAGTATTCTGTTCCCATGTGTTCTGGCCCCGACTTCGAAACAAACTAAGGTTTTTACTCAAATTTCAAATTGTGTTTGACAATTTGAAACAGCTGAATTTTAACTCAACTGCTTTTTTAGAATAAAATATCCCAAACAACTTAAGAAATCTATCCACCAAAGTCAAATTGTATACTATGTTTGGGTTTAATGTCGATTTCAGTTAATTCTTTGAAATGCATTTTCTGAAATTTGAGTAAAATCTCTAACTTTTACTCAAAACTCAGACTTAAGTTTGTTTTGAGAAATCGGGGCGTGGTCTATAAATTCCTTGAAAGTTCGAATGTAACAATGATAATGAGTGCCCTGCTGATGTGACAATACTGACTAAATACCTGTCATGTATAGGATGCACACGTGTAGGTGTACAACAGGTATGGAGCTCCACCTCCATCTTCACATCATGGAACTTACCTCTGGGTACGTCAGGGTGTAACGTATAGATACTCAGCTAGATTTAGTGCTATGACGTCAGTACAGTGCCATCACGTGTCAACATTTACCGTTTCCTGTGTTTCCCTGCCCGCGATGGAGAGGATGTCCTCACAAGTGCCGCAGGTCGGACAAGACTGACCATTCACGGTGACGTAGTTTGGCGTGTAGCGTCCACTTGGGCAGAACTTGCACTCGAAAATAGGACACGGCAGCATATTTGGCTGAAGTGTAAGATAGAGTGAGTGAGGGATTTAATATGGTCGGGATTTGCTTTCTGCAGAAGTATATATTTTGCATTGCGTCTTTAATAACTCTTTAACCTTTCGGAGTTTAAATTCACTTTTATTTGTCTTCTCCGATTGGCATTCGTGTTATGAATGTATTTGTTTTGCAAGTTTTCTGTGGCTCTACTATAATGCACAACATACATCCATTACAAGTCCTACACAAATGTTCACTTAAACTGTATGAACTTCAGCTCTACTTCGATATTTTCCTGAACTGCTTCTCTTATAGGCTGTCTGACTGTGGGACGTTACACTCTCTGACTGGCTGCTCCCCAGAGTACAGGGTGTAGGACGTTACACTCTCTGACTGGCTGCTCCCCAGTGTACAGGCTGTAGGACGTTACACTCTCTGACTGGCTGCTGCCCAGTGTACAGGGTGTAGGACGTTACACTCTCTGACTGGCTGCTCCCCAGAGTACAGGGTGTGGGACGTTACACTCTCTGACTGGCTGCTCCCCAGTGTACAGGGTGTAGGACGTTACACTCTCTCACTGGCTGCTCCCCAGAGTACAGGGTGTAGGACGTTACACTCTCTGACTGGCTGCTCCCCAGAGTACAGGGTGTGGGACGTTACACTCTCTGACTGGCTGCTCCCCAGTGTACAGGGTGTAGGACGTTACACTCTTTCACTGGCTGCTCCCCAGAGTACAGGGTGTAGGACGTTACACTCTCTGACTGGCTGCTCTCCAGAGTACAGGGTGTAGGACGTTACACTCTCTCACTGGATGCTCCCCAGAGTACAGGGCGTAGGACGTTACACTCTCTCACTGGCTGCTCCCCAGTGTACAGGGTTTAGGACGTTACACTCTCTCTCACTGGCTGCTCCCGAGTGTACAGGGTGTAGGACGTTACACTCTCTGACTGGCTGCTCCCCAGAGTACAGGGTGTAGGACGTTACGCTCTCTGACTGGCTGCTCCCCAGTGTACAGGGTGTAGGACGTTACACTCTCTGACTGGCTGCTCCCCAGTGTACAGGGTGTGGGACGTTACACTCTCTGACTGGCTGCTCCCTAATGTGCAGGGTGTCGGACGTTACACTCTCTGACTGGCTGCTCCCTAATGTGCAGGGTGTCGGACGTTACACTCTCTGACTGGCTGCTCCCCAGAGTACAGGGTGTAGGACGTTACACTCTCTGACTGGCTGCTCCCCAGTGTACAGGGTGTAGGACGTTACACTCTCTGACTGGCTGCTGCCCAGTGTACAGGGAGCCACGTTACACTCTCTGACTGGATGCTCCCCAGAGTACAGGGTGTAGGACGTTACACTGTCTCACTGGCTGCTCCCCAGAATACAGGGTGTAGGACGTTACACTCTCTGACTGGCTGCTCCCCAGAGTACAGGGTGTAGGACGTTACACTCTCTGACTGGCTGCTCCCCAGTGTACAGGGTGTAGGACGTTACACTCTCTCACTGGCTGCTCCCCAGAGTACAGGGTGTAGGACGTTACACTCTCTGACTGGCTGCTCTCCAGAGTACAGGGTGTAGGACGTTACGCTCTCTCACTGGATGCTCCCCAGAGTACAGGGTGTAGGACGTTACACTCTCTCACTGGCTGCTCCCCAGTGTACAGGGTGTAGGACGTTACACTCTCTCACTGGCTGCTCCCCAGTGTACAGGGTGTAGGACGTTACACTCTCTGACTGGCTGCTCCCCAGAGTACAGGGTGTAGGACGTTACGCTCTCTGACTGGCTGCTCCCCAGTGTACAGGGTGTAGGACGTTACACTCTCTGACTGGCTGCTCCCCAGTGTACAGGGTGTAGGACGTTACACTCTCTCACTGGCTCCTCCCCAGAGTACAGGGTGTAGGGCGTTACACTCTCTCACTGGCTGCTCCCGAGTGTACAGGGCGTGGGACGTTACACTCTCTGACTGGCTGCTCCCCAGTGTACAGGGTGTAGGACGTTACACTCTCTGACTGGCTGCTCCCCAGTGTACAGGGTGTAGGACGTTACACTCTCTCACTGGCTGCTCCCCAGAGTACAGGGTGTAGGACGTTACACTCTCTGACTGGCTGCTCCCCAGAGTACAGGGTGTGGGACGTTACACTCTCTGACTGGCTGCTCCCCAGTGTACAGGGTGTAGGACGTTACACTCTTTCACTGGCTGCTCCCCAGAGTACAGGGTGTAGGACGTTACACTCTCTGACTGGCTGCTCTCCAGAGTACAGGGTGTAGGACGTTACACTCTCTCACTGGATGCTCCCCAGAGTACAGGGCGTAGGACGTTACACTCTCTCACTGGCTGCTCCCCAGTGTACAGGGTTTAGGACGTTACACTCTCTCACTGGCTGCTCCCGAGTGTACAGGGTGTAGGACGTTACACTCTCTGACTGGCTGCTCCCCAGAGTACAGGGTGTAGGACGTTACGCTCTCTCACTGGCTGCTCCCCAGTGTACAGGGTGTAGGACGTTACACTCTCTGACTGGCTGCTCCCCAGTGTACAGGGTGTGGGACGTTACACTCTCTGACTGGCTGCTCCCTAATGTGCAGGGTGTGGGACGTTACACTCTCTGACTGGCTGCTCCCTAATGTGCAGGGTGTCGGACGTTACACTCTCTGACTGGCTGCTCCCCAGTGTACAGGGTGTAGGACGTTACACTCTCTGACTGGCTGCTCCCCAGTGTACAGGGTGTAGGACGTTACACTCTCTGACTGGCTGCTGCCCAGTGTACAGGGAGCCACGTTACACTCTCTGACTGGATGCTCCCCAGAGTACAGGGTGTAGGACGTTACACTGTCTCACTGGCTGCTCCCCAGAATACAGGGTGTAGGACGTTACACTCTCTGACTGGCTGCTCCCCAGAGTACAGGGTGTAGGACGTTACACTCTCTGACTGGCTGCTCCCCAGTGTACAGGGTGTAGGACGTTACACTCTCTCACTGGCTGCTCCCCAGAGTACAGGGTGTAGGACGTTACACTCTCTGACTGGCTGCTCTCCAGAGTACAGGGTGTAGGACGTTACGCTCTCTCACTGGATGCTCCCCAGAGTACAGGGTGTAGGACGTTACACTCTCTCACTGGCTGCTCCCCCCAGTGTGTACAGGGTGTAGGACGTTACACTCTCTCACTGGCTGCTCCCCAGTGTACAGGGTGTAGGACGTTACACTCTCTGACTGGCTGCTCCCCAGAGTACAGGGTGTAGGACGTTACGCTCTCTGACTGGCTGCTCCCCAGTGTACAGGGTGTAGGACGTTACACTCTCTGACTGGCTGCTCCCCAGTGTACAGGGTGTAGGACGTTACACTCTCTCACTGGCTCCTCCCCAGAGTACAGGGTGTAGGGCGTTACACTCTCTCACTGGCTGCTCCCGAGTGTACAGGGCGTAGGACGTTACACTCTCTGACTGGCTGCTCCCCAGTGTACAGGGTGTAGGACGTTACACTCTCTGACTGGCTGCTCCCCAGTGTACAGGGTGTAGGACGTTACACTCTCTCACTGGCTGCTCCCCAGGGTACATGGTGTAGGACGTTACACTCTCTGACTGGCTGCTCCCCAGTGTACAGGGTGTAGGACGTTACGCTCTCTGACTGGCTGCTCCCCAGTGTACAGGGTGTGGGACGTTACACTCTCTGACTGGCTGCTCCCTAATGTGCAGGGTGTAGGACGTTACACTCTCTGACTGGCTGCTCCCTAATGTGCAGGGTGTAGGACGTTACACTCTCTGACTGGCTGCTCCCCAGTGTACAGGGTGTAGGACGTTACACTCTCTCACTGGCTGCTCCCCAGTTTACAGGGTGTAGGACGTTACACTCTCTGACTGGCTGCTCCCCAGTGTACAGGGAGCCACGTTACACTCTCTGACTGGATGCTCCCCAGAGTACAGGGTGTAGGACGTTACACTCTCTGACTGGCTGCTCCCCAGTGTACAGGGTGTAGGACGTTACACTCTCTCACTGGCTGCTCCCCAGAGTACAGGGTGTACGTTACACTGACTGGCTGCTCCCCAGAGTACAGGGTGTAGGACGTTACACTCTCTGACTGGCTGCTCCCAGGTGTACAGGGTGTAGGACGTTACACTCTCTCACTGGCTGCTCCCCAGAGTACAGGGTGTAGGACGTTACACTCTCTCACTGGCTGCTCCCCAGAGTACAGGGTGTAGGACGTTACACTCTCTCACTGGATGCTCCCCAGAGTACAGGGTGTAGGACGTTACACTCTCTGACTGGCTGCTCCCCAGTGTACAGGGTTTAGGACGTTACACTCTCTCACTGGTTGCTCCCCAGTGTACAGGGTGTAGGACGTTACACTCTCTGACTGGCTGCTCCCCAGAGTACAGGGTGTAGGACGTTACGCTCTCTGACTGGCTGCTCCCCAGTGTACAGGGTGTAGGTCGTTACACTCTCTGACTGGCTGCTCCCCAGTGTACAGGGTGTAGGACGTTACACTCTCTGACTGGCTGCTCCCCAGTGTACAGGGTGTAGGACGTTACACTCTCTGACTGGCTGCTCCCCAGTGTACAGGGTGTAGGACGTTACACTCTCTGACTGGCTGCTCCCCAGTGTACAGGGTGTAGGACGTTACACTCTCTGACTGGCTGCTCCCCAGTGTACAGGGTGAAGGACGTTAAACTCTCTGACTGGCTGCTCCCCAGAGTACAGGGTGTAGGACGTGACACTCTCTGACTGGCTGCTCCCCAGAGTACAGGATGTAGGACGTTACACTCTCTGACTGGCTGCTCCCCAGTGTACAGGGTGTAGGACGTTACACTCTCTGACTGGCTGCTCCCCAGTGTACAGGGTGTAGGACGTTACACTCTCTGACTGGCTGCTCCCCAGTGTACAGGGTGTAGGACGTTAAACTCTCTGACTGGCTGCTCCCCAGTGTACAGGGAGCCAGTGTGTGTTGCCTGCGGACAGCCCGATCGATCTCCTGACAGCCTGATCGATCTCCTGACAGCCTGATCGATCTCTGAGCTAAGACAATCGTAACGGTCTTAAAAAGCTTACTTTCCGATTGGCTTACGACAATCGTAGGACATAAAATGGCAGCTGCATACGACGATAATCGTAAAAAAATGTTAAGACAATCGATTATCGTATGACAGTCGTACAATATGGCAGGTTACCTGCCATATTGTACGACTGTCATACGATAATCGTTTCTCTAAGATGGCTTTTTTCACCCGGGCTCTGGCCGCCCATGTTCCAACATTAATCACCTTATAATCTTACCGATATTTTCCTGGCTGTTATTGACGATGTCGCAACGCATGTCTGGCATGATGGACACTTGCGGCCGTTCAGCGTGACATAATTAGTTTTATACTGACCGCTCGGACACGCGATGTACATGCAGTCAAATATAGGGCAGGGCATCTGAAGCTGCAACAGGCATGCGTCATGGTTATAGCTATATCACTGGAACAGGCATGCGTCATGGTTAAAGCTATATCACTGGAACAGGCATGCGTCATGGTTATAGCTATATCACTGGAACAGGCATGCGTCATGGTTATAGCTATATCACTGGAACAGGCATGCGTCATGGTTATAGCTATATCACTGGAACAGGCATGCGTCATGGTTAAAGCTATATCACTGGAACAGGCATGCGTCATGGTTATAGCTATATCACTGGAACAGGCATGCGTCATGGTTATAGCTATATCACTGGAACAGGCATGCGTCATGGTTATAGCTATATCACTGGAACAGGCATGCGTCATGGTTAAAGCTATATCACTGGAACAGGCATGCGTCATGGTTATAGCTATATCACTGGAACAGGCATGCGTCATGGTTATAGCTATATCACTGGAACAGGCATGCGTCATGGTTATAGCTATATCACTGGAACAGGCATGCGTCATGGTTATAGCTATATCACTGGAACGGTTCCCAAAACAGTGTCCACTTTATAACACGCACGAAAATTATGTCACAGTAAATAAAGTTATGAGATAAGATATTGCTGAATCTGTGTAGTATCTGAGGTCGTAATAAGTGGTACGATGCGCCTCCACCTCCACACCCACCTCCACGATCACGATCACCTCCAATACGCCCACATAACATACTGTCAGCTGTTGGTCGCCCAAACCCGTCAGTGTACTTACCTTTATCAAATCTGTGAGACTAGCGGGATCTGCCGCTTCCGTAACTGAAGACATAAACACGAACATATGTCAATATAGCTCTTTGATTGGCATTATAGAAGTTGGTGAGTAATACGAAAGTAAGATACTTAATGGATGTGAAGCAACAGTATAAGAGTCTACACCGAAACGTAGCATCATATATAATAAAACAGTTGTCATCCATAACACATCTTGCTTTATTAGTATGTCAGTATAGCTGTTGCATCACAGGCAACATTCATTGTTGATATAATGTATCGCTATTCCATGCAGGCAAACTGTCTTCATTCTGTTTCGATGCGACGTTTCGAAATAAATCCTTACAAGTAAATGTATACAGAGTATTGAAAGACCTATTGTACTAAACCCCATTTTGCCATATATAGTCATGTGATAATTAGGTGTGTTGGTTGGATTATGTTGACCTTTGTTCAATAATTATTTGTGTACTCGTCATTTAGCAAATTAAGTTTCAGTACACTTTCCCTACAACTCGATAACTTGGGAAAAAATTGATTTCGTTGTTGATAAGGAAATATGGAGCCTCCTCAGCTGAAAGCGGGTCAAAGATGGCAAGTTATTGGTGTGTGGAATGTTACTGAGGATTATTGGAGAAGATGCTGGTTGTCATCCATCGACTATCAGCCGATGGTCCAGAAAACACCAGCAAACTAATGACGTCAAAGCAAACTCCGCCAACGTTCAGGTCGACCACACGTGACGACTTCTGGGGAGGATACAGCTCTTCTCAGAATCACAAGACTTCATCCGTTCATGTTAACTAGCGTTTTAAACAAAGTGTGGCTTCCAAATCGTCGTTTGCCCAACAGAAATCGTCTCCAGTCGACAGGGTATGGAGCCAGACGTTCCATGTTATCCCCAGAGCACAAAGCAACAACGCCAGCTTGGTGTCAATGGACAACAGGAATTTGACGTCATGGGGAAAGGTCGCCTGGTCGGAAGAAAGTTCATTCACATGACTGTAAACCTGACCTTGTGACTGACTGACTGACTGACTGACTGAGTTTAGTTTTACGCCACTTTTAGCAATATTCCAGCAATATCACGGCCGGGGACACCAGAAATGGGCTTCACACAGTGTACCCATGTAGGGAATCGAACCCGGGTCTTCGGCGTGACGAGCCGACGCTTTAACCACTAGGCTACCCCACCGCCCTGACCTTGTGACAATCAGACACAATCGATGACCATCTTCTGAAGATGAGGACGACAATGGTAGGCCGCATCGTGCACGTGCCGTTGGTGATGTTATATCATACGTGAAGACGCGCTAGCAACTCTAACTTGGCCCGCTAGGAATCCAGATCTCAATCCCATAGAACAGGTTTGGGATATTATTGATCGCACAATACGCCAGAGACATCCTCCAGGACAAACTCATATTGTATTGGAACAAGCCGTCCATCAAATATGGAACACAATACCTCAACGTCAAATACAACGTATAAGACAGTCAAAGAAGAGTAAGGTCAGGGATGTTATTGCAGTTGGTTTCGCCAGATATTGACATTGTGCTCGGTTAGTGACACTCATGTGAATGTTTGAAGATTGTACTCCAGAATCTTGAAAATGACCGCACTTGTTAAAAACATACGACCATAGTTATCAGCACTACAAAATGAGTATACATTTTTCGATGTTTGCTTCTCTGCCTAAATTTTTTTTTCATCCTTTTTGCGTTTTGATTTGCCATTCGTTATTACTCCAGGGCCAAATCCACCAGACAGCTAAACCGAAGGTTGGAAATATGTTCCTGTGCTATGGTTGCATATTGGTACTATGAAAAATACGGGGTGTTGCAATGCTTTTTGTCCATGTGTATATATGTGATAGGAATTAGCAAGAACAAAATATGGGAATGCAAATGAGATGAAGAGTGAAGCCAACTGTTTATGACGGGATACCAAATAGGTGCTGATAGGAATAACTGGAGATGATGGCATGAGCTGAAGCTGGAGCTGGCGCTGGAGCAGATGCCAGTTGTTACAAAGGTATCCTCCCAAAACTTCCACAGCTTATAACAACAACATTTCTGGTTGACTGCACACACTTTAGCATACTGATTACCCCAGTCTGTAATGGTATAATCCATTAATCAGTAATGAATACAAACAATCACTTTGTAATAAATTATATTAATTATTAAAGCAGGGTTATTAACAAAAATACATATCTTTTCTAGTTACATATAACAGTGTATGTAGAACATTTGTACAGAACGTATGTCCTATAGTGTCTAAGATTTCACCCGCACATTTGACAGTCATAACCCTATCCCTCTGTACTGGTAGCGCAAGTTTGGTTGGTAGTAGAGCTTCATGTAAAACTACATATTTCAATATACATGTACGGTAAGGTTGCATTATTTATGTTGTGTATATTCAGGATACTATGAACGTGATATACCCGTTACAAATACTGCTTTAAACACTGTACAAATTTAACTGCTGCCCAACACAGTCACTTGATGAAACCTCCGCCTAATAGCACTGACACCTGTTAAACTTGCTGCCCACTAAAGATGACGTGTCTCAGAAAATTGTCGTATTAGGCAAAACAAGGAAGGATAACAATATATGGATGAACTACTTGCTTGATAACGGTGTTAGAACCTACACCGAAACGTTGCTCTCACAGCAATAAAGTAGTTGTTCGTCCATATAGTGTTATCCTTCCTTACTGCCCAAACTTCTAAATGCCTCCCTACACAGATGGTACTTCGCACAAAAAACAGTGGACAAAACATCCGAATATCAGGGTCAACAACGTTCAAAGTTCAACACGTCGGCCCCCAGTGTTATCCAGCAGTGAGACCCAGTGTAGATCACACACTGAACAGGTGCCCCACCGTTCTAGTCTCTCATGCAGAATACTGAACAGTAAGAAACATGACCTGGTTTACTTGGCCCGGATCAAGCTTAAAGGTTATTCCAATGTGACCCACCTTGCAACACGGGTTACATGTGACCCACCTTACAACACGGGTTACATGTGACCCACCTTACAACACGGGTTACATGTGACCCACCTTACAACACGGGTTACATGTGACCCACCTTACAACACGGGTTACATGTGACCCACCTTACAACACGGGTTACATGTGACCCACCTTACAACACGGGTTACATGTGACCCACCTGGGGGCGATCAGCATGTTGCATGTATCCTACATAGATGTATACAAGTACACTACACGCCAAAAGAAACGTTACCCTCAAAACTTTATGAATTACTTAAAAACTATCATAGATATGTTTGAACGTATTAGTTTACAAGAAAGCTTATCAACACACTTTAAGCAAATCACGAAAACAAATTCTCAATTGAATTAATATTTAGGTGAAATGCATCTTTTTCAGAAATGTTTAATTGTCCTATTTTCGACCATGCAGAAATAAACCAATAACACTGATTTAGATGTCAAAAAGATAGGTTGAAATAAAATTCTGCTTTGAGACAAAAATAAAACATCTAAAGTCACCATTTGTCAACTATTAAAACAAAAACAACTGTTGTAGAGTGTGTAAAATTGTAAAAGTATCATTCGTATGATTCAGTCTTCTGAAACATTTTCCGCTGATTTCCATTACAAAAAATAAGTAAAACGTGTCTTTGATATTGTGAAAAGGTGTTTTGGAACATCTGAAATTATCTTTGTTAACATTTTTGCTTGTAAAGTAACATTTGTTTCCCTTTTCTGTTAACACATAGCAATATCAATCGCCAAAACATAGCAATATTCAAGCAGTATTTGCATCGATTTCACCTGTGAAGTGATTCATAATGCATGATATGATAGCGAGAGTACGAGAAATGCATGATATGATAGCGAAAGTACGAGAAATGTGCCACGATTAACAGCTGAAGAGAGGGAAAGAGCCATTGGGATGTTGCAGATAGGGGTCGACATACAATGTTGTTGCCAATGCCCTCGGATGCCGCCGTATCACGGTTATAAGACTTATTCAGCGCTACAGATAGACTGGGGTCACCGAAGACAGACCAAGAAGTGGACGTCCACGCATCACAACTCCAGCTGAAGATAGGTACCCTTGTCATAAGGAAGTAGGGTAACGTTTCTTTTGGCGTTTAGTGTATCTGACACCAGGTAAAACATGTTATATTGGTATTGTGTATATATCTGACAGCAGGTAAAACATGTTATATTGGTATTGTGTATATATCTGACAGCAGGTAAAACATGTTATATTGGTATTGTGTATATATCTGACAGCAGGTAAAACATGTTATATTGGTATTGTGTATATATCTGACAGCAGGTAAAACATGTTATATTGGTATTGTGTATATCATCTGACAACAGGTAAATCATGTTATATTGGTATTGGTATTGTGTATATATCTGACAGCAGGTAAAACATGTTATATTGGTATTGTGTATATATCTGACAGCAGGTAAAACATGTTAAATATCATCTGACATGTTATATTGGTATTGTGTATATATCTGACAGCAGGTAAAACATGTTATATTGGTATTGTGTATATATCTGACAGCAGGTAAAACATGTTATATTGGTATTGTGTATATGTCTGACAGCAGGTAAAATATGTTAGATTGGTATTGTGTATATATCTGACAGCAGGTAAATCATGTTATATTGGTATTGTGTATATATCTGACAGCAGGTAAAACATGTTATATTGGCATTGTGTATTCATCTGACAACAGGTGTTATATTGGCATTGTGTATTCATCTGACAGCAGGTAAAACATGTTATATTGGCATTGTGTATATATCTGACAGCAGGTAAAACATGTTATATTGGCATTGTGTATTCATCTGACAGCAGGTAAATCATGTTATATTGGCATTGTGTATTCATCTGACATCAGGTAAATCATGTTATATTGACATTGTGTATATATCTGACTGCAGGTAAATCATGTTACATCGGCATTGTGTATTCATCTGACATCTGGTAAATCATGTTACATTGGTATTGTGTATTCATCTGACATGTTATATTGGTATTGTGTATTCATCTGACATCAGGTAAATCATGTTATATTGTCATTGTGAATTCATCTGACACCAGGTAAATCATGTTATATTGACATTGTGTATTCATCTGACAACGGGTAAATCATGTTATATTGGCATTGTGTATTCATCTGACACCAGGTAAATCATGTTATATTGACATTGTGTATGCATCTGACAGCAGGTAAAACATGTTATATTGGCATTGTGTATTCATCTGACAGCGGGTAAAACATGTTATATTGGCATTGTGTATTCATCTGACATCAGGTAAATCATGTTATATTGGCATTGTGTATTTATCTGACACCAGGTAAATCATGTTTAATTAGCATTGTGTATTCATCTGACAGCAGGTAAAACATGTTATATTGGCATTGTGTATTCATCTGACAGCGGGTAAAACATGTTATATTGGCATTGTGTATATATCTGACAGCAGGTAAAACATGTTATATTCACATTGTGTATATATCTGACAGCAGGTGAACCATGTTATATTCACAATGTGTATATATCTGACAGAAGGTAAATCATGTTATATTGACATTGTGTATTCATCTGACAGCGGGTAAAACATGTTATATTGGCATTGTGTATATATCTGACAGCAGGTAAAACATGTTATATTGGCATTGTGTATTCATCTGACACCAGGTAAATCATGTTATATTGGCATTGTGTATTCATCTGACATCAGGTAAATCATGTTATATTGACATTGTGTATATATCTGACAGCAGGTGAATCATGTTACATCGGCATTGTGTATTCATGTGACATAAGGTAAATCATGTTTTATTGGTATTGTGTATTCATCTGACAGCAGGTAAATCATGTTATATTGACATTGTGTATTCATCTGACACCAGGTAAATCATGTTATATTGACATTGTGTATTCATCTGACAACGGGTAAATCATGGTATATTGGCATTGTGTATTCATCTGACACCAGGTAAATCATGTTATATTGGCATTGTGTATTCATCTGACAGCAGGTAAAACATGTTATATTGGCATTGTGTATTCATCTGACAACGGGTAAATCATGTTATATTGGCATTGTGTATTCATCTGACACCAGGTAAATCATGTTATATTGACATTGTGTATTCATCTGACAACGGGTAAATCATGTTGTATTGGTATTGTGTATTCATCTGACACCAGGTAAAACATGTTATATTGGCATTGTGTATGTTACAGGATTGCAAGGATACGTTACAGGATTCCGGGGATATGTTACAGGAATGCAGGGATATGTTGCAGGATTACAGGGATATCTTGCAGGATTACAAGGATATGTTGCAGGATTACAGGGATATGTTGCAGGATTACAAGGATATGTTGCAGGATTACAGGGATATGTTGCAGGATTACAAGGATATGTTACAGGATTACAAGGATATGTTACAGGATTACAAGGATGTGTTGCAGGATTACAAGGATATGTTGCAGGATTACAAGGATATGTTGCAGGATTACAAGGATATGTGACAGGATTACAGGGATATGTTGCAGGATTACAAGGATATGTTACAGGATTACAAGGATATGTTACAGGATTACAGGGATATGTTGCAGGATTACAAGGATATGTTACAGGATTACAAGGATATGTTACAGGATTACAAGGATATGTTGCAAGATTACAAGGATATGTTGCAGGATTACAAGGATATGTTACAGGATTACAAGGATATGTTACAGGATGACAAGGATATGTTACAGGATTACAAGGATATGTTGCAGGATTACAAGGATATGTTGCAGGATTACAAGGATATGTTACAGGATTACAAGGATATGTTGCAGGATTACAAGGATATGTTGCAGGATTACAAGGATATGTTACAGGATTACAGGGATATGTTGCAGGATTACAGGGATATGTTGCAGGATTACAAGGATATGTTACAGGATTACAAGGATATGTTACAGGATTACAAGGATATGTTGCAAGATTACAAGGATATGTTGCAGGATTACAAGGATATGTGACAGGATTACAGGGATATGTTACAGGATTACAGGGATATGTTTCAGGATTACAAGGATATGTTACAGGATTACAAGGATATGTTACATTTCTACAAGGATATGTTACAGGATTGCAAGGATATGTTTCAGGATTACAGGGATATGTTACAGGATTACGGGGATATGTTACATTATTACAAGGATATGTTACAGGATTACAAGGATATGTTTTAGGATTACAGGATATGTTGCAGGATTACAGGGATATGTTACATTATTACAAGGATGTGTTACAGGATTACAAGGATATGTTACAGGATTACAAGGATATGTTTCAGGATTACAGGGATATGTTACATTATTACAATGACATGTTACAGGATTACAAGGATATGTTACAGGATTACAGGGATATGTTACATTATTACAAGGATATGTTACAGGATTACAAGGATATGTTACAGGATTACAAGGATATGTTACATTATTACAAGGATATGTTACAGGATTACAGGGATATGTTACAGGATTACAAGGATATGTTACAGGATTACAAGGATATGTTACAGGATTACAAGGATATGTTACAGGATTACAGAGATATGTTAAAATCTTTAACTTTTGATATCACTGACGTCCAGTCATTAAATTTGCATTATTGTTTTCCATAGTCGCAATTCGGCTGGTTCACGAGTGAGAAAGAACATATGGACGAGACTTTGATCAACGTGTTTACAAACGACAATACATTACAGGTTCACAAAATGCGCCGTAAATCACTGTGCAATGCTGTGATCTTTAGATGACTTTCACCACTGTGGTCGTGGAATTTACCAAACTCATTAAAGACATATGGTTCCCCGTAATGTATGTGTGAGTGAGTGAGTTTAGTTTTACAGCGTAATGTACCGCAATATTTCAGCAATATCACGGCGGCGGACACCAGAAATGGGCTTCACTCAATGTACCCATGTAGGGAATGGAACCTGGACTGAACGCTGTAAGAGTGTAGCATAGGACATATAGAGTTAATGTCTAATGTGCTTGGTTGTATAATTACCTGACACCAGAACAGTGGCACAGAAAGCAGCAAGTGTATATGTCAACATTGTGGTCGATGTGCACCGGTAGAGTCCTGAAGTTGGTCCTATCAAAGACACACCTGCAATCAAGAAATGGTACCGCATAGGTGACGCGAGTGTTATCTTGACCAAGGCCATGTGCTGGCGTACACACACTACATAGATAGCGACACCGGCCTCGATTTCGTCATCACAGTTAACAGTTTCTCCGAATGTTTTCAGTCCTTCAAACTAGCATGTGGTGTACGCTTCTTTCAATCTACGAACACAAGATACCGTAAATACTCAAGAAATTCTCCACAAAACCTGCATCTTAATGTAACACGTCCACTCTACAGACTAGTGATTCTCGTTTATCAGCCGAGGACAGACTGCAGAATGGGACGAACTGTAAATTAAGCTGCAAATAAATATTCCAATATGGCTGCCTTACATTAGAATATGTAAAGGAAAACTCGGAGATTGTTGGCCACGTTTGACCCTGTCAAGGGGATATACAAAGCAAATAATTGTTAATTTGAAATCTGGCCTCCCCCTATTATTCAATCGAAAAAGTAAATCAGGGGTGGTTTCGGATAAAACGATAGGTCGTGGTGGTGTGGTGATGGGTGATGGGTGTGATAGTGGATGTGATGGTGAGACGAGTGGTCGTGATGGTGTGACGAGTGATCGTGAAGGTGTGACGAGTGTGACGAGCGGTCGTGATGGTGTGACGAGTGGTCGTGATGGTGTGACGAGTCTGTGACGAGCGGTCGTGATGGTGTGACGAGTCTGTGACGAGTGGTCTTGATAGTCGTGATGGTGTGACGAGTGGTCGTGATGGTGTGACGAGCGGTCGTGATGGTGTGACGAGTGGTCGTGATGGTGTGACGAGCGGTCGTGATGGTGTGACGAGTGGTCGTGATGGTGTGACGAGCGGTCGTGATGGTGTGACGAGTGGTGGTGATGGTGTGACGAGTGGTCGTGATGGTGTGACGAGTGGTCGTGAAGGTGTGACGAGTGGTCGTGATGGTGTGACGAGCGGTCGTGATGGTGTGACGAGTCTGTGACGAGCGGTCGTGATGGTGTGACGAGCGGTCGTGATGGTGTGACGAGCGGTCGTGATGGTGTGACGAGCGGTCGTGATGGTGTGACGAGCGGTCGTGATGGTGTGACGAGCGGTCGTGATGGTGTGACGAGTGGTCGTGATGGTGTGACGAGTGGTCGTGATGGTGTGACGAGTGGTCGTGATGGTGTGACGAGTGGTCGTGATGGTGTGACGAGTCTGTGACGAGTGGTCGTGATGGTGTGACGAGCGGTCGTGATGGTGTGACGAGCGGTCGTGATGGTGTGACGAGCGGTCGTGATGGTGTGACGAGCGGTCGTGATGGTGTGACGAGCGGTCGTGATGGTGTGACGAGTGGTCGTGATGGTCGTGATGGTGTGACGAGTCTGTGACGAGTGGTCTTGATAGTCGTGATGGTGTGACGAGCGGTCGTGATGGTGTGACGAGCGGTCGTGATGGTGTGACGAGCGGTCGTGATGGTGTGACGAGCGGTCGTGATGGTGTGACGAGCGGTCGTGATGGTGTGACGAGCGGTCGTGATGGTGTGACGAGCGGTCGTGATGGTGTGACGAGTCTGTGACGAGCGGTCGTGATGGTGTGACGAGTCTGTGACGAGCGGTCGTGATGGTGTGACGAGCGGTCGTGATGGTGTGACGAGCGGTCGTGATGGTGTGACGAGTGGTCGTGATGGTGTGACGAGCGGTCGTGATGGTGTGACGAGCGGTCGTGATGGTGATGACGAGTCTGTGACGAGCGGTCGTGATGGTGACGAGTCTGTGACGAGCGGTCGTGATGGTGTGACGAGCGGTCGTGATGGTGTGACGAGTGGTCGTGATGGTGTGACGATTCTGTGACGAGCGGTCGTGATGGTGTGACGAGCGGTCGTGATGGTGTGACGAGTCTGTGACGAGCGGTCGTGATGGTGTGACGAGCGGTCGTGATGGTGTGACGAGTCTGTGACGAGCGGTCGTGATGGTGTGACGAGTCTGTGACGAGTGGTCGTGATGGTGTGACGAGCGGTCGTGATGGTGTGACGAGTGGTCGTGATGGTGTGACGAGTGGTCGTGATGGTGTGACGAGTGGTCGTGATGGTGTGACGAGTGGTCGTGATGGTGTGACGAGTCTGTGACGAGCGGTCGTGATGGTGTGACGAGTCTGTGACGAGCGGTCGTGATGGTGTGACGAGCGGTCGTGATGGTGTGACGAGTGGTCGTGATGGTGTGACGAGTCTGTGACGAGCGGTCGTGATGGTGTGACGAGTGGTCGTGATGGTGTGACGAGTGGTCGTGATGGTGTGACGAGTGGTCGTGATGGTGTGACGAGTGGTCGTGATGGTGTGACGAGCGGTCGTGATGGTGTGACGAGTGGTCGTGATGGTGTGACGAGTGGTCGTGATGGTGTGGTAGTGGATAGGGTGAGTGAGATTGCAAGTGAGGATGTTTGTTGATGAATTCGCAGCGGCTTCGTCTTTCGTTCTCTCTTCATCCATACCCATGTCCACAATGTCACGTGAGACTGGTGGCCATGTTTATTAATGTGAACTACACACTGATGAGTTTAAGGACACGACTAACAGCTGAACCAGATTGGACGGTGAGAATCACAGGGCAGTCATCCAAACATGCGTCAGCTGAACCTAAAATAGGTGTACGATTAGCCTGGCCTAAGATAGCGTAGTGAGTAGAGCAAGATGACAGAGATAAACAATGGAATACAAGTTGCCATGACATATATTTATTACCGAAGTGACATTAGTTAATATTTTGAACTAGGGAGAAGCATTGTGTATATTATGGGGGTGTACTGTCAGGTAAACCATCAGGGTGTACTGTCAGGTAATCTAACAGGGTGTACTGTCAGGTAAACCACCAGGGTCTACTGTCAGGTAAACCATCAGGGTGTACTGTCTGGTAAACCATCAGGGTGTACTGTCAGGTAAACCATCAGGGTGTACTGTCAGGTAAACCAGCAGAGTGTACTGTCAGATAAACCATCAGGGTGTACTGTCAGGTAAACCACCAGGGTGTACTGTCAGGTAAACCATCAGGGTGTACTCTCAGGTAAACCATCAGGGTGTACTGTCAGGTAAACCACCAGGGTGCACTGTCAGGTAATCTAACAGGGTGTACTGTCAGGTAAACCATCAGATTGTACTGTCAGGTAAACCACCTGGGTGTTCTCTCAGGTAAACCACCAGGGTGTACTGTGAGGTAATCTAACAGGGTGTACTGTCAGGTAAACCATCAGCGTGTTTTATCACGTATACCATCTGAGTGTACAGTCAGGTAAACCATCAGGGTGTACTGTCAGGTAAACCATCAGGGTGTACTGTAAGGTAAACCAGCAGAGTGTACTGTCAGGTAAACCATCAGGGTGTACTGTCAGGTAAACCAGCAGAGTGTACTGTCAGGTAAACCATCAGGGTGTACTGTCAGGTAAACCACCAGGGTGTACTGTCAGGTAAACCATCAGGGTGTACTGTCAGGTAAACCATCAGGGTGTACTGTCAGGTAAACCATCAGGGTGTACTGTCAGGTAAACCATCAGGGTGTACTGTCAGGTAAACCATCAGGGTGTACTGTCAGGTAAACCAGCAGGGTGTACTGTCAGGTAAACCACCAGGGTGTACTGTCAGGTAAACCATCAGGGTGTACTGTAAGGTAAACCAGCAGAGTGTACTGTCAGGTAAACCATCAGGGTGTACTGTCAGGTAAACCAGCAGAGTGTACTGTCAGGTAAACCATCAGGGTGTACTGTCAGGTAAACCACCAGGGTGTACTGTCAGGTAAACCACCAGGGTGTACTGTCAGGTAAACCATCAGGGTGTACTGTCAGGTAAACCATCAGGGTGTACTGTCTGGTAAACCATCAGGGTGTACTGTCAGGTAAACCATCAGGGTGTACTGTCCGGTAAACCAGCAGAGTGTACTGTCAGGTAAACCATCAGGGTGTACTGACAGGTAAACCATCAGGGTGTACTGTCAGGTAAGCCATAAGGGTGTACTGTCAGGTAAGCCATCAGGGTGTACTGTCAGGTAAACCATCAGGGTGTACTGTCAGGTAAACCACCAGGGTGCACTGTCAGGTAATCTAACAGGGTGTACTGTCAGGTAAACCATCAGATTGTACTGTCAGGTAAACCACCTGGGTGTACTCTCAGGTAAACCACCAGGGTGTACTGTGAGGTAATCTAACAGGGTGTACTGTCAGGTAAACCATCAGGGTGTTTTATCACGTATACCATCTGAGTGTACAGTCAGGTAAACCATCAGGGTGTACTGTCAGGTAAACCATCACGGTGTACTGTCAGGTAATCTAACATGGTGTACTATCAGATAAACCATCAGGGAGTACTGTCAGGTAAACCATCAGGGTGTACTGCCAGGTATACCATCAGAGTGTACTGCCAGGTAAACCATCAGAGTGTACAGTCAGGTAAACTATCAGGGTGAACTGTCAGGTAAACCATCAGGGTGTGAACTCTCACGTAAACCATCAGGGTGTGTACTCCCATGTAAACCATCAGGGTCTACAGTCAGGTAATCTAACAGGGTGTACTGCCAGGTAAACCATCAGGGTGTACTGTCAGGTTAACCATCAGGATGTACTGTCAGGTAAACCTTCTCGGTGTACTGTCAGGTCTATCAACAGAGTGTACTGTCACAGCTAAGACCAAGGTGTACCGTCACGTCTATCATCAGGGCGTACTGTTACCCCTAAGGCCAAGGTGTACTGTCACGTCTGTCATCAGAAAGTACTGTCACACCTAAGGCCAAGATGTACTGTCAGGTCTACCATCAGGATGTACTGTCACACCTAAGGCCAAGGTGTACTGTCAGGTCTATCATCAGAGAGTACTGTCACAGCTATCATGAGAGTATACTGTCACACCTAAGACCAAGATGTACTGCCACGTCTATCATCAAAGTGTACTGTCACACCTAACGCCAAGGTGAACTGTCAGGTCTAGCATCAGGGTGTACTGTCACACCTAACATCAGAGTGTACTGTCACACCTAAGGCTAAGGTGTACTGTCAGGTCTATCATTAGAGTGTACTGTTACACCTATCATCAGAGTGTACTGTAACACCAAATGCCAAGGTGTAC